AATAGTGGTGGTGGATTCACACAGAGAAGATTTCACTTATTGGTTGTCTGCACAGATGAAGCATCATTATTGGAGAAATCATTTCTTTGCTTTGGACATTATCTGGACTGTCACTTCTTGTTTGTTTGCTAATTCATTTATACAGTGGTGGCTTAATCACATATTTGGTATATGAAATTTTATTTTAGGTTAATATATTTCTGAAATCTATTTAAAGATAACATATATATAATTTATTTAAGATCACATTTATATGTCTCCTAGATTGTAAGTTCTAACAAGCAGGGCCCTCTGTTTCCTCTTGTAGCAAATTGTATTGTAACTGTAATGACTACCTTCATTTTGTAAAGTTCTGTGCAAACTGTTGGCGCTATATAAATCCTGTATAATAATAATAATATGTCTAATGCACTATATTTAGTGCTGCACTCATTTTGATTTGTATATTTTACTCATTGGTTTGTCACAAATTTTGTGCTAGCTGCTACTCTTTCTAAGTGCTCACTTCTTCTGTTGTTATTTCTAGATATGTTTTATAGTAGAAATTAAAAATATTTCCCAATATATCGCAAAAAAATAATAAAAAAACAGTGGCAATCAAATACCACCAAAAGAAAGCTCTATTTGTGTGAAAAATAAAAAAAAAATGTGTTTGGGTACAGCGTTGCATGACTGAGCAATTACCAGTTAAAGTAGCACAGTGTGGTATAGCAAAAAGTGGCCTTTTCATGAAGGGGTTAAAAGTCTTCTGAAGCTCAAGTGGTTAAAAATTAATCAAATAGCTCTTTTGGTTTGTGGTGCTCAAATACAGTGTAGTTCTGCTTTAAGTATGCAATGAATGGAATGGCGTGCAGTAGCTATGTGCAGTTTAATGGACAGCATCACCTGCAGAGTGGATTGGTGTAGAGTATATAATGTACAGCACAGTGTACAGAGTGAAGTGGTGTGATGTATGTAATGCAAAGTGCAGTAGGCAAAGTGGAAAAGTGGAAAGTATATAATAGCACAGAGCAACCCTAACCACTTGGAAATTGATCAAATGTGATAGTCTGGTTGCTACAGGTTACTGCTCTTTGAAAAGCAAATATTAGCCTTTGCATTGCCTTATTGAATAAGCCGAAACATGTCACCTCAAATTTCAGACCATGTTTACATTTCTAGCTGCTGAATAACTTAGCAGGGTAACCCACGGGGCACTACGGAATCTTTTGTTTCATGTAATGTACAAGAGCACCGGAGCATGTAGCACAAATTAATCTTTTATCTTGAATAATTTGAGGGGATAAGTCAAGTGACTGGAAGCATATGCTCTCATCTTAAAACTGTCAGGGCCGAATTTATCTCAAAATACAAAGTAACAAGACAAAAGCTATAGATCAGTGAGAATGGGATTGTGTGGAAATGAATCAGGCTGCAGTCATGTGTAAGTGTGGATAAGTATCTGTATCACCAAACTTGGTGCTCATAATTGCTATTGTTTAGCAATAACTGAGCTTCAAAGAGGGTTCGCCGCAAAAACACACAATGAAGGAACTAAATTATTTTGACAGCTTGGAAGTATCATCAAATTAAATATGTTACTTGTAGACATTCATTTTGCTGTTTTTATATGGAATACGCGTAACACGAACAATAGAAGGCTCAAGGGTTGATTTGATAAAAAGATCTGTTGAAAGCGCTACTTGTAAGAAAAAGCGAACATAAAAAAAAAAATCTTCAACTGAAACACTGACTGGGGGGTAGGTGTGCACTTAATGTGAAAGAGTTTTACTAGGCGCCAACAGCTGTCAGAGTGTGGTAAACTCTTCACCAATGGTTCTCTATCTTTACAAGATATCATATACAGGAACCTTCTCACTACAGACATTAGAAAGAGCCTGAAAGCACACAGCTTCAGCTGCACCCTCTTATTTAGAAAAGCCATGATCTGTGAATACTATGTGAGATGTGGCATATATAGGGTTTGACTAGTTGCTTGGGAGCCTGGCCAATACATAACCATGGATTTTTTCAACCCAAATGCAGTTTGGGGAATTCATAAAGGGTGTTGTAAACACCTCAGTTCATGTATCTGTCACAGGTACATGAATTTGTCTATGTCTGCACTGGGCACAAGCACTTGGCCAAGGAGTTTTATACTAGGGGTGGGTGAAGCCTGATGGGAAACTGAGAGACTAATTCTCCATCAGGTTCGCTCATTAGACTGAAAGCTCATGAGAGTGGGAGGATCCTTAGCTACCATTCAGATTGCTAGCAGCTTTGGAATCTGCTTACTGATTTGCAGTCTGACAGCTAAATGGAGCTGGGGATAGAACCATGTGGGGATGCTGTCAAGGACAGCTTCTCAGTACAGGCAAAGCCCACTCTGAGTAGTGGAGTACCTCTGTACGCCAAATCAGAGTTGGTCTTACCTCTGGTTCACATATCGGCATGAAAGCCTATTCATTTGAATGGACTCCTGTGCCCCAGGACACTCAGGAAAGAAGTCCCTGCACTTCTTTGCAAACCACAACCCGCATGGGAACTGAGGTTCCCAGTACTGTTGCAATTTCCAGTGCAGGCAGAATGCCATTAGAATTAATGGCACCTGCCCGCGGGTCCCGCATTGCTCTGTGCGGATGGTGAGCGTGTCAGGAATGGACTGGCCAGCAATAGTGGGACTCAGCTGCCTTATGAGAGCTGCAGTACCAGGGCTGGCCAGCGGGTGCTCCCAGCAATCAGAGACTCAACCTTGCAGCCAGTCAAACACCTGGAACTAATTATACTGGTGTCAAGGGACATTCAGACCTGCAGACTCTGCCTTGGTGTTGTGTTTCTCTTGGGCCCTGTATCCTGTTCCTTGCTCTCTGTTCCTGTCTGATTCTCTGCTGACCCTGCTCTGATCCCTGGCTTGTCTGACCATTCTCCTCTGCCTGACCCTCTGTACCACGCTGCCCGCTACCTGCTGAACCTGGCCTGTGACCCCGACCATTCTCCGCTTGCTCCCCCTGTACCTACCTGCCCGACTGATATTGACCCGGCCTGCCTGACGACGCTTGCATTGTATGTACTGTTATCTGTGGGTGGTTGGTTGGTTTGTTTGCACTGTGTTATGTTTTAGTATTGCACTGCGTTTATGTTTGTATGGTTAGTGTTAATAAATTACATTGTTTATAACATATCTGAAGTCTGCGTTTCCCTGCGTCAGTCACACACCTCTGGTCATACCCGGGAGCCCTGACATTACACCAAGGACAATCCTGACCAGAAGTGGCTGCACAGGGAAGCCATCTTGGCTTGTTGATGGGAAGGATGGATCTGGATGAGGTTGCGTATTTATATCTGCTAGTGTTTGATGACAGGGAGTATGCTTATCAAACTCTGAAGGAGTATCCCCCGGGATGAACTGCTAGAATGTATACGGCTCGCTCATGTTCTAGTAGATCAGGGCACAGAGTTCTCTGAGGTGCAGCCTTTGATTAAGGTTTGTGCTGAGTTGGTTTCATCTGTTCCCCCGAATGCAGGGATGAATTTTTTGCCACCATTTTAGTGCAGACCAGGTAGAGTCCCTGGTATGGTTATTAGAGGATGATGTGGGTTACTTTCTGGAGCGTTATTCCACATGTTCACCACAGACACTAAGAGATTGTATAAACGCAGTGCAGTCTTTGGTCAGACAGGCTTTGTGTAAGCTCAGCTTTGTTCAACCCATACTGCAGACATGGACAGATTTGTTGCACCCAGCCTTAGTCAGCTTACAAAAACCCAGTCCTGCTTCTAATCTATTTCCTCAAAACTCTATTCCTGCATTCCCAACAGCACCTCCTGCCCTGCTATCTACCGCATGTCAGTACCCTGTTCCCACTCGCTGCACCCTGTAAGAAAGCCCTCTGTAGCAACTGTTCCCTCCCCTGTTTCCATCCTCCAGTTCTTCTCTGTCTCCAGCTGCTCCATTCGTTTGCAGACCTGCGTTTACTTGCAGTGCTCCAGTAGTTAAAACCAGAAAAAAGCGAAAATTCTTTCCAACCAATACCATCCTGCCAGTATCCAAACCGGTGAACCTGCTTCCGTGGTTCAGCCTGAAGCCTCTACTCAGCCCATGATGGCCTGTACTCAGCCTGATGCCTGTACTCAGCCTGCCTGCCGCCTGAGTACCTCTATTCGGCCTGAATGCCCTGTACGCCAGCCTGAATGCCTCTCTTCATGATGCCTCTAACTTTAGGCCTGATGCCATCAGCCTGATGCCTGTACTCGGCCTGGCGAAGCCTCTACTCCTGATGATGGCCTTACTAACTCGGCCCGATGGCCTCTACTCGGCCCGAAGCCTCTACTCGGCCCGATGCCTGTACGGCAGCCTGATGCCTCTCTTCAGCCTGAAGCCTCTACTCGGCCTGATGCCTCTACTCGGACCCGATGCCTCTACTCGGCATGAATGCCTCTACTTTACGGACCTGAGGCCTCTACTCGGCCCGATGTGCCTCTACTCGGCCCGATGCCTCTGACTCAGGCCCGAAGCCTACTCTGGCTGTCATAGCCTCTACTCGGCCCGAAGCCTCTATTCAGGTGCCCGCTGAAGCCTCTCTACTCTGATCCTGAAGCCTCTACTCAGCCGCGGACACCGATGCCCCGGGACGAGCCATTCAGCCCTGATGCCTCCGGTACCCAGCATGATGCCACTGATCCAGTGCCCGCTGAACGATCCTATGCCTAGGCTGTTTACCTCGATGCCCGCTGTTGAGCCACCAGATGATCCGGTACTGTGATGCCTGTTGCCCACCCCACTGCGTGCCAATTGACTCAGTGCCCGCTGTCATACTCTGGTGACTCGGTGACCACGATGCCTGTCCACCAGATGACGCGACCCAGTGCCACCGCTGGACGAGCCCAAATGACCTGATGCCTCGGGGCCCGCCCTAGTTCGCCCGCTGTCATACCTGGTCCGCCTGAGGGCCCGAGACCTGTCGCTCCGCCTGGGGTGATAGTCCGGCTCCGCCTGAAGCCCGAGACCTGTCCCGCCTCCACCTGGGGTCCGGCGCCCGCCGCTCCGCCTGAGGGCCCGAGACCTGTTCGCTCCGCCTGGGGGTCCGGCGCCCGCCGCTATCCGCCGCCTGAGGGCCCGAGACCTGTCGCTACCTGTCGCTCCGCCGCTGGGGGCCCGAGACCTGTCGCTCCACCTGGGGGCCCGGCGCCCGCCGCTCCTCCTGAGGGCCCGAGACCTGTCGCTCCACCTGGGGCCCGGCGCCCCGCCCGCTCCTCCTGAGGGCCCGAGACCTGTCGCTCCACCTGGGGGTCCGGCGCCCGCCGCTCCGCCTGAGGCCCGAGACCTGTCGCTCCATCTGGGGGTCCGGCGCCCGCCGCTCCGCCTGAGGGCCCCAGACCTGTCGCTCCGCCTGGGGGTCCGGCGCCCGCCGCTCCGCTCCGCCTGGGGGCCCGATGCCTGTTGCCCCTCCCCGCCTGGGGGCCCGATGCCTGTCGCCCCGCCTGGGGGCCCGATGCCTGTCGCCCCGCTTGGGGCCCGATGCCTGTCGCCCCTCCTGGGAGCCCGGTGCCGCCGCTCAGCCTGGGGGCCCCGACGCCTGTCGCCCCGCCTGGGGGCCGACGCCTGTCGCCCCTCCCTGGGGGCCCGATGCCGGTCGCGCCCGCCTGGGGACCCGATGCCGGTCGCCCCGCCTGGGGGCCCGACGCCGTCGCCCCACCTGGGGGCCCGACGCCTGTCGCCCCGCCTGGGGGCCCGACGCCTGTCGCCCCGCCTGGGGGCCCGACGCCTGTCCGCCCCCGCCGACCCGATGCCTGTCGCCGCCCCACTCTGCCCCGACGCCCGGGGCCCGCCTGGGGGCCGTCGCCCCTCCCAGGGGCCCGATGCCGGTCGCCCCGCCCGGGGGCCCGATGCCTGTTGCCCCGCCCGGCCCTTGAGGCCCGATGCCTGTTGCCCCCGCCCGGGGGCCCGGTGCCTGCTGCCCCGCCCGGGGCCCGGTGCCTGCTGCCCGCCCGGGGGCCCGGTGCCTGCTTCTCTCGCCCGGGGGCCCGGTGCCTGCCTCTGCTTCTCCGCCCGGGGGCCCGGTGCCTGCTGCCCCGCCTGGGGCCCGGTGCCTGCTGCTGCTTCCCGCCTGGTGGCCCGCTGCTTGCTGCTTCACCTGGTAATCCGATGTGCCTCTGCCCGGAGTCCTGCCCGATGTGCCTCTGCCCGGAGTCCTGCCCGATGTGCCTCTGCCCGGAGTCCTGCCCGATGTGCCTCTGCCCGGAGTCCAGCCAGGTGTGCCTCTGCCCGATGTGCCTCTGCCCGGAGTCCAGCCCGATGTGCCTCTGCCCGGAGTTCCAGCCCGATGTGCCTCTGCCCGGAGTCCAGCCCGATGTGCCTCTGCCCGGAGTCCAGCCCGGTGTGCCGCTGCCCCGGAGTGCCTCTGCCCGGAGTCCAGCCCGGTGTGCCTCTGCCCGATGTGCCTCTGCCCGGAGTCCAGCCCGATGTGCCTCTGCCCGAGTCCAGCCCGATGTGCCTCTGCCCGGAGTCCAGCCCGATGTGCCTCTGCCCGGAGTCCAGCCCGATGTGCCTCTGCCCGGAGTCCAGCCCGATGTGCCTCTGCCCGGTGTGCCGCTGCCCGGAGTGCCTCGCCCGGATCCAGCCCCGATGCCTCTGCCCGGAGTCCAGCCCGATGTGCCTCTGCCCGGAGTCCAGCCCGACGTGCCTCTGCCTGGAGTCCAGCCCGATGTGCCTCTGCCCGGAGTCCAGCCCGATGTGCCTCTGCCCGGAGTCCAGCCCGATGTGCCTCTGCCCGAGTCCAGCCCGATGTGCCTCTGCCCGGAGTCCAGCCCAATGTGCCTCTGCCCGGAGTCCTGCCCAATGTGCCTCTGCCCGGTGTGCCGCTGCCCGGAGTCCTGCCCGGTGTGCCAGTCTTTGATATCCCGCCAGTTACCAGACCCGGGCGGTGGAACATTTTGCCCAGCTAGGACTGTTTGGAGCGTCCTGAGGCCGCTCCTTGAGGGGGGGGGTACTGTCAGGAATGGACTGGCCAGCAATAGTGGGACTCAGCTGCCTTATGAGCTGCAGTACCAGGGCTGGCCAGCGGGTGCTCCCAGCAATCAGAGACTCAACCTTGCAGCCAGTCAAACACCTGGAACTAATTATACTGGTGTATTTAAGGGACATTCAGACCCTGCAGACTCTGCCTTGGTGTTGTGTTTCTCTTGGGTCCTGTATCCTGTTCCTGCTCTCTGTTCCTGTCTGATTCTCTGCTGACCCTGCTCTGATCCCTGGCTTGTCTGACCATTCTCCTCTGCCTGACCCTCTGTACCACGCTGCCCGCTACCTGCTGAACCTGGCCTGTGACCCCGACCATTCTCCGCTTGCTCCCCCTGTACCTACCTGCCCGACTGATATTGACCCGGCCTGCCTGACGACGCTTGCATTGTATGTACTGTTATCTGTGGGTGGTTGGTTGGTTTGTTTGCACTGTGTTATGTTTTAGTATTGCACTGCGTTTATGTTTGTATGGTTAGTGTTAATAAATTACATTGTTTATAACATATCTGAAGTCTGCGTTTCCCTGCGTCAGTCACACACACCTCTGGTCATACCCGGGAGCCCTGACAGTGCGGCTGCAGGTATTTTTGTGCGGGTCCCACAGCTGCACCACCTGCACTTATGTGAACCTAGACTTAAAGCTGATCTGAACAGCGCACAAAAAAAAAAAACACTTGAAGCACTACCCCCTTAGAAGTTGCTGAGTTTTGGGTCCCCCTAGAGTCCTGCACAGCCAGGTATTTTCCATACAAACTTGCATCCAGGAGAGGGTAACCAGTCTTTGAGCTTTGTTTTTTGGATTTTATTAGGGGGATTTGAACTTGGATGGGGTAAGGGATTCATGGGATGCCAAGGGAATGACAACTGAGGACAATCTTCCTGGAACTATATACAAGTCTCTTTAACAGAAAAAATTCTCTTTCTTGGAGAGCTAGCCTGCATATCCTGGTATGCCACCCAAACTTCAGATACTTCTCTATCCAGCTGCCTGAAGGAATCCCTAGACAGGGATCCAGTGCCTGTCACATTAAATATAAGACAGTTCAGGGTAGCAAGCTAATTCAGTTTGCTACTAGAGAGCTCCTTCCCCTTTCTGGCCCAGGGGGTGTAGGGTCTACTCACTCAGTCCTCTGTGAGCTCAGGCTTTCTGCTAGGCCGCTCCATCTTTGCTACACAGATGGTCCTTCCCACTGGGCCCCCTCCAAGGCTCCTGCACCCCAGCCTCTCACTTCATCTTCCACCCAAATCTCCTGCTGCTGAGCAGGCTCTCTCACATTTGAAGGCTGCCCTGGCCTCATGCTTGGGGATTGGCCCAGCCCCTCCTCATCCCCACACCACTGCTTCTAGAATCTTCTCAAGATCTCTAGAGCAGGGAGATATCAGGGAGCTATTACCTGAAATAATCCCCTGTCTAAGGCCTGGCTGCTATTCAGCCTTCCTAGCTGAAAAAAAAACCCTGATCTACCTCATCCTAGCAACCTAGGAGGGTGCTACACATTATTTAACTAATTTTCAGTATTCAAAGCAAACTCCCCCATCCATCAATGTCTCTATGCTGGGAAATCACTTTGAAAAACACTCCTTAGAATTTCTGACTGGGGCCATCTTGAGTAAGGGCAGATGATTGATGTAACAGTTACTTCATGGAATCCATTTGACCTTAGTCCTTAGCTCAGGCATTCAGGCAGGAGGGTTTGCTCTAAAAAAGCACCTCCTCCTCTCCTGAAGACTCCTGGAATGTATGACATCATTTGCCTAGGCAAAGAAACCAGGAAGTAACTGAAGAAACTGATAAAAAAATAAGTTAATGAGGATTAAAAAGTCAATCTTGATTGAGAGAGTGAAGTTCCCCTTTAAATAGATAATATAAAGTGCAGCGCTAAACCTAAAATACTATATGTATTAATAAATATATATATAGGTGCTAAAAATCTGTGCAAAATATATATCTGTGCAATAAATAATACACAATACAGCGCTAAACCTAAAATCCTATATATAATAATAAATATATAGATAGGTGCTAAACAATCTGTGCAAAATGTGCAAATAAAGTAAAGTGTAACACGTGTATTCCCACCGGGAATATTAAAAGTGTTCAAAGTGATAACAATCAATAATTCAAAATCACTGCAAATATATACTACTCAAAATAAGTCCATATGAGAAATAGTGTCCAAACAAAACAAAGAGACTCTCAATCTTCATGCATGTGATAACAAGTGTCCACACTGTGTGAATCCAAACAATGGCTGCAGTGGCCCCTCACCTCCTTACATACACCCCACAGGGTCAGCTTGCCTTAGGATAAAACACCACTCTGATGAATCACCGGATCCTCCCCAGACTCATATACTCTCTCAGCAGCTTCCTCCTCGGTTCATATATAGACAGAAAACTCTCATAGTGTAAAACTGTATTTATTCCATATATATATATAACAAAAATGCCCACTCACATTTAGATCTTCAATAACAGGCTTCTATACCACATGCTATGAATGCCCTGCATGGGTTTTTAATATAGGGGTTTTAAATATGTCCGCCACGCCGGAAATAACATCACCGCGCTCCCAGAATCCTCCTCGCATACCGACGCGTTGCGTCATGATAGACACGTGACTTCCTCAGGACCCAGCAGATTGGATGGCAGTTGGGTGTAAACAGACAGGTGATCCGTGTACATCTAATTGCTCATAGAGGGGAGTGGGATGTGACTGTGTCCACTCTGCATAAGCAGACTCATCCCTGTCATCTGCTTACTCAGCGGGGATCAACAGACAGATCCCTGCTGAGCAAGTGGATCACAGGTCACCTCTCCACCTAGTGTGTGACTGGAAGTGAAAGCGCAGAAACAGAATAAGGAGGTAATCCTTCTGCTGTCAGCATGCTCCTTGTCAGCACATGCACAGCACCTGAAATCTGCCTGTAGTTAAGCTTTAATCAGGATTTATAAGCGTCATGTGCATGGCTTTTCAGTGAAGAAAATGTGTAAATCACAAAGACTGGTTGTACAGAATTACAATAGTTTTTTTTTTTTTTTTTGTACAAACCCTAAACTCATAATACAGGTGCACCTCAGTTTACGAATGCCTCGGTTAACATAATTTTCACTTTACGAATGAAAATCCATTGAAAATAGTGCCTCAGTTTACAAATTTTTTACAAATGTTTTTTTTGAAATCTGAAGTGTATGTCGGTGCCGATTTTTAAATGCAATTGCCGGCTTTTTTCCCCTTCACTATAGCTCACAGAATTAGCTGTCACTTTTCCCGGAGCTAAAGGATACTTTGTTTCTTTTATCCCGGGAAACAAACCAAAAGGAAACATTGTTTCTTTTAACTCAGGGAAATAAACTAAAAGGAAACTG